GTTTGCCATGATCAATCTGATGAGGACCTTAAAGATCAATGCTTTTATCTCATCGGCCAGGTCTGTGATACCCAGGCCTCCCTGGCTCTTGGGTTGGGCAATATACTTCCAGGCCACCCACTTGATACACTTGGCCTGCTCGTGGTCATTTTTCCACAGGTATGCCAACATGTATGTTCTTAAGTGGGCAAGGTTCGCCTCCGGAATTTCCAAAACGTAGTCTTGTACCAGATGGTGGTGATCATGGCGTTATTAATGTCCATACCCCTACCTTAGCCATCCTTTTAAACCACCATTACCTCCTAAAAGTGCTCCGCATTAACGGGCGTGGCTTTTGGGATGAACGGGCCTGGACCGGTAGCCCCGATTCAGCCAAGTGAAAACGGCACAATTTCCGCTTTTGGCCGGCCGTTAACGCGGAGCACTGTTAGGAGGTACTGGTGGTTTAATGGAAGTCTCAATCAGTACCTTCCATTGTGTTTCGGGGCCCCTATTGCGGTAAGTCCCCCATACAGACTCTTTATTGCTTCCTCCTTCAGCCTCCAATTTATGGGATGGGAGTCGGGGGGGTAGAGATCCTCCAGGGACAGTGGCAAGCCCTCCATTTTTCTGTCCCAGTCGACTTTCATGTCTACCGCAATGGCAAAGGTGTGGATGGTGGTGGTGAGGGCCTGAAGTGCGGAGGGCATATATTTGATATGTGGTCATTTCTTACGTCATTCTTCTCCCACTTTTTGTATAACAGGATTTTTATCCCTTGACTCAGCAATCCCCCCAGAGTCCCTTCCGATCGGACCTCCTGAACGTAGTCGTTCAGACTGCTATTGAAGACCTCCCAGAAGTGCAGCCAAAAGTCAAGGCCGGGGGTCTTCTCATCCTCCATGCCTTCCAGCAGCTCGTCCGTCATGAGGGGTTTGCCCAGGTCCTGTTTCTGGGAGGTGGACAGCAAGGAAGGCAGACAATTGAGCATGGTGTGCTGGACCTCCTCCAGCTGAGTTGTTTCCCATTGCGCAGACTTGGACGCGTAGTGATTTTGATAGAACTGCGTTGCACAGTCAACGGTCGAGTTGGCATGGGTGGCCTCCAGTTGGGCGGGGTCGAGGGTATGCTTCAGGGTGGAAATTGTGGTTTGTCTTGTTCTGGCCTTGGCCTCGTTAAAAAACGCTTTCTCCATCGTCCCATCTGTGCGAGCCACGTACTTCTTGCCTGAATGGTCATTCTTGCCTGAATCCTCCACGCCTGCGCCTGGGATTCGAGATATTGTGATAGGTAGTCCCTGGCATTCTGCAGTTTGTCAAAGCTATCCTGATCTAACGGGTCATCATTCAGTTTCTGGCCCATTCTTCCAATTCAACCAGCAACTTATTGATTACGGCTTTCCTGGAAGCATTTGAGCTTGAACTTTGAAGGAAGCTCTCAGTAATTGCTATCAGATACATTGAAGAAAGTCCACAGCATCCACCTCAAGTTTGCAGCATTTCGTTCTTTCCATCTGTCGTCTGGAAGACTGGAACGATCTACGGACTCCAAAAAATGAAACAAACATTTTTGAGGGGCCACCTATGACCCAAATCATCATTCCACATGATTCCAGGCGCGCCCTGAAAAAGGCAAAAACAACTTGAGCAGGGCCTCGATCCAGACATTCTGGTCCAGACAATAGACCCAGACATCCAGATCCAGTCAGTCCGCACCCCACTCCGGATGTGGGTATTTGTCAATTTTTTCTTTTCTTCCACTCACAGTACAGAACAAGTCCAGAATCACTCAATGTGCACAGCGACTACGACCAACGGGCCAACACTAAAGGGGGGCGGCGTTGTGTTCCAAGGATTACAGGACTTCACGTCCTATTCGCCTTTTCATGCTAAAAAAGCAGTGATAACCGGGTCTCTGCACCGGGTGTGGAACCACACCATGGTGAAGGAGCAAGCGGGACCCGCCCTCCTTGCCCTGGAAATGGAGCTTCGAAAACGGGTGTTCCCTGGGCACTATTTTGATTCACGACTGGCATCATTCTCACAGGCCAAGGACGGGGCCTGGGACGATTGGGTCGAAGTACTACAGACAGACCGAGGAACGGGGATTTTCGGAGAAAAACGGACGCATGTACTGGGACGTCGAATACGGCAAAGTTCGGAGCAGTATTTTAGCAACTGCGCACCTAGCCTGCACCCGCCCAAAGTCAACGGGCATGCCGAGGTGAGGTGGCGACCACATGGACCAGTGACGTCGCAACCAGACAAGCAAATTCAGCAGGGACGGAGTCTGACGCTAGGATAGATGGCATGAGCGGGAGAACCAGTTTTTTCTGAAACTTTTCAAAGGTGTGTACGAGCGGGAAAACGTGGGTTTGAATTTTGGAGACGGTAAGAACTGGAGTAGGAATGACATAAAAGCAAGATGATAGAGGTAGAACTCACCTTTCGAGGGTTGAATCGCCCCTGAAGACGCTGCACTGGCAGCAGCAGGAATGCGCCGGGCGTTTTGCCATGACACTGGAGTAGGACGCTGCTTCATGTGTCCAATAGAGCTTTCAAGATGATTTTCGAGTTCTTCATTCTGCGCTTCATGCCGGATCAATCGTAACTGTCTCCCGGAGGGATTCTTGTTACTTCTTGCTTTTGTTGGAGTCACCTGTCCATGTT